GTCTTCCAACGATGTCCACAACCGGCCTCGGTTGGATCGGATGAGGTCACAGGCCCTTGTGAGGTGTGGGGATGCGCGCGCCACCTCAGCGTTTTCCAGGAGGCGCCCAGGCAGCAGGTGCTCACCAGCTCAGCCGCTTCCCAGGGAGCCCGGCAGGACACCCCGGTGGCTAGGACTCTGCGCCAGACCCCTCAGGCAGTTCCGTGGGCGGAGCTTCGGGCTGATCAGGTGATCTCGGGGGCGGGGCCTCGCGGGCAGGGAGCTCGCACCTAGAGCAACCTGTGAGAAGCCTTGAAGGCGGGATGGAGGACTCCAGGCTTCCAACAGGGACAGCAAGCACTGCATGCAGAACCTCAGGGACACGAGGGCAACGGTGGGACGACTCAGAGACTAGAGTTTAGAGAGCACTAGTAGGACCCTCAGGTGACAGAGCTGGAGAGGCGAGACTGGCTGAGGAAAAGGTTTAAGCCGTCTCAGAGGCTGAGAAGAAATGCAATATTGAAGGAGAACCTCAGTCTGAGTAGCTGGATGGAGGAACGATGCAGAAAGGTGGAGAGGTCTCTAAGTGGTCAGTCAGTGGGTTTGTCTTAACTACGTGGAGACTTAGTAGTTGGTGCCTTCAGCTCTATGGCTGTCCGATCATTTGTACTGAGGATGGTTTCTGTGTTTCTACATCTGCTTTCCTCTCAAGCTTTTACCTCTCAAAAGCGCAGAGCTGGTGGGAATTCTCCACAGCGTAAGTTCTTGCGTGAGGTGGAGGATCTGTTGCTGAGCAAATATGATAAATGGAGGTTAATGTTTGAACATCCAGTAGTGGCATTAGCTATAATGTATCTACAATTATGGTACAGTTTGTCCATTAGAATATTAACACTTCACAACAGAAAAAATTTCTCTGATAGTTGCAACAAGTACTGAAATACAACTAGCAGTGAGTAGCTCATCAAATATGGCTTGTATAGCAGTAAAAAGTATTGTGAGTTTTTAAAAATATTGATCATTACATTTGCATAATGTGAAAGTCTTTGGTGTGAAGGCAGGATAAAATATCTTTTGTTTGCAATAACATTGATTCCCTCCACCAAATTTTCAGGTTTAAAAATTATGTGTGTCTCTATGTGGGTTTGTGTATGTAAGTGCAGTACCTAAGGCAGCCAGAAGAGGGCAGAAGAGTTGTGAGGTGTCTGACACGGGTGCTGGGAACCCAACTTGGGTCCTACGGGCATACGTGCTCTGAATCACTAAGTCATATTTCCAGCTTCATGCAGTATCAATGTTTTGAGGCAATATTGTGTGTTACAGGGCCAAGGTTTTGTAGCCAGATTTCCAGAATTCATATTCTAACCCCTGTTTGCTGGTTAGGTGTTTCTGTAAAATAGTGATAATGACAATTCCTTAAAGGATAATTATGTGTAATATATGAAATAATTCATGTCAATGTGTTTATTGTAATGCCTAGCACATATTAATTACTCAGTAATGTGGTGGTTGTTGTTTCTGCACTTCTGTCTTAGGGTTTGTTTAAATAATAATAATAATAACAATAGTAACAACAACAACAACAACTAACATGGCTTCTCTTATTTTCATGTCATTTGAGATACACTCTACTTCTCTGTATACTAAAAAGGTAAACTCAGGAAGCAGGGTGACCTCTGATTTATCACCTACTAGCTGTTTCCTCTAGCTTTTGCCCACCAGTCTACATTGTTGCTATTTATTGTGTATTGTACTCTGAGCATTACTTTGAAGAGGCAACTTCAAGTAGACAAACATAACCTCTTTGTCTCTATAACAGGAGTGTGATCTTTTCTTCCTATTTTTTCTGTTTATAGTTTGTGATCTTTCTATTTTTTCTGTTTGTAGTTTGTGATATTTTCTTCCTTTTTCTTTCCTGTTTTTAGTCTGTCAGGAAACACTTTTATATTATTACTCACTCCTATTTATTCGTCAAGACCTTCGGGTCCTGAAGGACAGGATTTACTTCCAAACAGAAAAATGGAGAAAACACATTTAGTTTGCAAGGTAAGTTATTCAAGGCAGTTTTTTTTTTTTTTTTTTACTTTTAAAGATTTCTTCTCCTTTTAAAATTATTTTTATAATTGTTTATTATTCATGACTGTTAAACGTTTAGAGAGTATAAAGTTCTGATAAACCTGCTTAGTAATTGGTGACTTTTGAACTCTTTTAGCAGGCATATGTTGGAATATTATTCAGCAATAAGGTACTACTATACCAAAAGAGCCTCTAAAGCATATTGTGGAATTCTATATACACATATTAAAATATATAAATATAATATATATTTTCTGTTTTATTTTTGGTATGATAATTTTCAGGTCATCAAGCAATTTAAACACATTGTCAAAGTGGCTATACCATTTTGCATTCCCACCATTAGATAGGACTTCAGAGAGGGGTGAGGCTCCATCAGCCCCTCACTGTTCTCTGACAGGATGTGTAGAGGTTCAGCCTTGTAGAGATAGTGTGCAGATAACCACAGCTGCTGTGAGTTCAAGAATAGCGCAGTCATGTCACACCAAGATATCGGAGTTCTTTCTACTCATTCTTCTGTGAGGTTTCCTGAGCCATTTATGATTGGACATTTATCTTAGTCACTGGTTTATTGCTGCCAAGAGATGCCATGACCAAGGCAACTTACAAAAGAACAGAGCATTATATGCTGATGTACAAGCAGCATGGAGAGAGAGGGGTCGGGGGAGGGACTGAGCCTAGACCTAGACCTGGGTCAGGTGTTAGGTTTAAAAACTCAAAGCCCACCCTAGTGACACACCTCCTCCAACAAGGCCACACCTCCTGATCCTCCCCAAACAGTTCATCCAGTGAGGACTAAGTGTACAAATATAAGCATTATGAAGACTGTTCTCATTGAAAACACCGCAGCATTCAATAGTCATTTATTCTCTGTATTTCGACCAGTTACGAGTCTGTATAGTCACCACTGACCACCGTAAACAGAAATAGCACTTTCCTGTAGGCATGAACAGTTATTTAGAAAGTGACTTGACACGCATTTCATGTCTGTTTTAGCAAAACAGCAGCAGCAGCTTCCGCACTAGGGCTTATGGCCTTCCTAGCTTCTAACCAGGTTTACCATTACACATGTGCCGATCAGAAAGCAGTTGGTTAGCCATTATTTTACCCATGAGCTCATCTTTCCTGGCCAGTCAGTGTTGTTGCATGCAGAAGTCACAGCCAAGTAAGGCAATTGTTGACAATTGTTTCTTGATAGCCTGGATAGCAGCCTCTAGCACTGTTGGGATTGGCCAGCAAGGAGGGAGCATCCAGCTGAGTTTCAGCTTGGTTTTCCTATGTCTTGAGATCAAGGCATGTTGTATCTTTAGCAATAGTGTTGCCAGCTAGTTCTGGGGCAACCAGCAGCAATGATAATTACTGGTATTTTATATTATTAAAACTATAGTCACCCTGCAGTTAGTACATTAGATTATTAAAACATTCCTTCAGTTGAATTGAAGCTTTGTAACTTTGGTCCTTTTCCTCTCTTTCTCCAGCCTTCTTTCTTCCTGCCAGTCTTGTTGTTATTTGAAGATTTCATTACACTACATCTTAGTTATAGCCAGCACTCCCTCGTTCCCACTCCCCCAGACTCTTTCAACACTATCTCCTTTCTAATGTCATGGTTTTTTTTAAAACATAACCCACTGAGTTCAGTTTGTGCTTCCCATATACACACAAGTGTAGCGAGCTGCTAGCATCTTTAAAATGTTCACTTTGTATGTGTATGTTTACTTATATGTGAGTGCAACTCGACAGAATCCAGAATCACTTGGACTTCTGCCAGCCTCTTTCTTTTGTATTGTTTTGTTTATTTTCTATTCTTTGAAAACTTCATCCACGTATGCACTGTATCTTGGTCATATTATATCCCAACTGCCTTCCTCCTGTTCTCCTTGGGCTCGCCAACACATCTCCCCCCTAGCTTCATGGTATTCTGGACACTTAGAACCCATGACGCTTCCATACACATTTTAGAAGTGTTTCCATTTCTGTGTAAAGTGGCCTCTCAGCTTTGGTAATTTCATTAACTGTAGATTGCTTTGTGAGAACACCCAATATTTATTCTTCAAATTTATGAGGATAGTTATGTTGATCTATTTTCTTCTGTCTTTATGCTCATGTGTTTCACATTTATTTATGTGTATGAATGTTTTGCTTGCACATTTGTATGTGTGCCGTGTGCATGCCGTGTGCATGCAGAAGCCAGAAGAGGGCACTGGGTCTCCCAGAGCTAGGGTTATGGATGGTTGTGAGTCACCATATGGGTGCTGGCACTTCTTTGCAAGAGCAACAAGCGCTCTAAACTACTGAGCTATTTTCTCCAGCCCATTCTTGGGTCTCTTCTATTGTTTTATAGTTTTCATTGTTACCATTCTAACAGATGTGTGGAGGTATCTTGTTTAACTTGCTATTTCCTAAAACGTGGTATTTAATATCTTCTCATATGCTTATTAGATTTATGTCTGTACATCTCAGGTTGTAAACTTTGTTCGGAGATCTTAGCCATTTCTAAATTGGCTTCCACACGTGTGACAAGGATGAGTGCATGTGTGTGCACATACACATGCAACATGCATATACAAATCCTTTATTAGATGTGTCCTTTGCAGATACTTTCTCCCAGTGTCTGGTTTACCCTTTCAGCCTCTTGATGGTGTTTTTCACAGAGTAGATGCTTCTTAATGTTAATGGAAGGTAGTTCTTTTTTCTTGCATGGACCATGCCTTAGGTTTGTACCTGAAAATAGTTAATTTTTTTGTGATAAAATGATTGTTTTGAAAAATGTGATAAAATTTTGCACCTATGTATATTTATGAATTCTGTGCATTTTATAGCTACATATTAAATTAAGGGATATATATTCTTTTAGAATAGTAATATTCAAATGAATAAGATCCTTTTAAAACCAAACTGTCTTTAGTTGAATGTTATATCTAATATGTATGTGGAAAGGAATACGCATGACTGTGATTATTGGCTGTTCTCAGACAGAAGAAAGCATTGATATATCAATTCATGGCTCTGATAATTTCACAACCAAGTTGACAGCAAGAAATATTGAAACTAAGAAATACTGCAAAATTTCTAAAACAACAGGGAAGAAAATTTCATCTGAAAGTAAGGGTTTAATCCCAGAATATAGAAAAATGTAAGTTAAAAACCTTTGAATTTACATTATGAAATTATCCCTTTTCAAGTTTAAAACAGCCAGATGTGCAGCACATCTGCGTCACAATAGGGCTGTGTGTATTGTGGCCATTCTCTTAGGAACACGGTTTTAACAGCTGTGTCATAATGATGCTTTAAAGTTTTTTTTTTTAAAAGAAAGAATACCTTATAGATACGTTGATCAAAATTGTTACAGATTAAGTATTACTGATGAACTATATGCAGATGAATAAATATTGGGATTTCAAATTTATAAAAGATGGAAGCAGGGATAAAATGTATAATTAGGCTATTATTTAGGCAGAGTGATGGTACATGGGAAGATTAGCATATTATTTGGAAGTTTCCACAATTAAAGATGGAAAGGAACATAAAACCAGAAAAATAGCTCATCAGTTATTTTAATTTCTGTGCCATTTAGATATGATACATCATTATTTGTGTATAGAGAAGAAAAATCTACTGAGTTTTCAGGATCAAAAAAAATCAGGAGAAAGAAAAGTGTACAAGTACAGCTTCAGAGTAAAAGAGCTGAGGTAAGTTAAAACTTGGCAAATGTCCTTTATCCTTGCTCCCAAATATTCTTGATGTTTTAGTTCGTGTTGAAATTTTACTATTTAGTTTTTTTTGAAATGTTACTATTTTAAATATTGTTTTTTTCTTTCTCCTTTCCTTCTTTTGTCCCCTCTTGCTTGTCTTTTTCAAGACAGGATTTCTCTGTGTAGCTCTGGCTAACCTGGAACTTACTCTGTAGATCAGGCTGGCCTCCAACTCAGAGATTCGAGTGCCTCTGCTTCCTGAGTGCTAAGGCATGGGCCACGACTGCTTGGCTTCCTTTTCTTTTCTTATGCCTGTATGGTTAGTGCCAACTGTACACTGGGCATATCTATGGGGGAAATTACTTTGTTTACATTGAGGTGGGAAGAATTGTCCACTGTGGGTGCTACCATTCCTTAGGCAGGAGATCCTGGGCTGTGGGAGTGAAGTTGACCTGAGCACATGTGGATGCGTTCATTATTCTCTGTTCCTGATTGTGGATGTGAGCAGCTTCCTCAAGTTCTTGCTGCTTCTGTGACTTCCCTTCTGTGATGGACTACACTTTGGAACTATGACCCAAACAAAGCCTTTCTCCCTTAGGTTGCTTTTTCAGAGTATTTCTTCATAGCAGTATAAAAGAAGCTAAGATATCTTATTTCTGATTTTTTGTTGTTGTTGTTTTGGTTTGATTTGTTTATTTGCTTCGAACGGGTTCTCACTGTGTTGTCCACACTAGCCTCAAACTCTTGCGCTCAAGTGATTTTACTGCCTTCATCTCTTAAACAACTGGGACTGCAGGTGTGTACCACCATATCTAACTGTATTTCTTTCCTCCCTCTTTCTAAAAATAAGCCATTTGATCTTCTCAGAAGACTAGGAGATTTTACTTTTCCCTATTAAATTAGTTTAAACTTCTTTCTTTTTATTTTTCACTGTGTTGTATGTTACTATTTGTTTGCAATTTAATTCTGACCTTAGGTGTTCCTTGGTTGGCGTACGTCTCCAACATTTGCCCTAGTCTGCACATGGGTCTTCAATGGTCTTCTTCCCTGTTTCTGTATCTCATAGTCTCTCTTGTCCTTGTGTGTAAAAGCACATCTGTTTAAACATGGTCACATCTGCAGGTTCCAGATATTAGGTTGTGAAGTGGAACCAACGTTACACTTATTATAGTCTCTGTTATATACTTAGGTGTATATTTCTTTTTATTTGTCTGTCTTGTTATTTATTGTACTTTTTAAATTTGAGCATGAACACCTTTCTTCAATTCTGGAAGAGCTCAATCTGTTGTCCTTCTTCTTTTTTTTTCCATCTTTGGAGCCTTGTGCACACCAGACAAACCCACTCCTAACTCATCTTTTAGGATGCTTCCTCTCCTCCAATCCTTTGTCATCCTTTTTGTTCCTCTGCCACTGGACCACCACTCCATTCTTTATGCTCTTAACATATGTATGTATATATATGTTAAAGAGCATAAATATATATGGTATATGTATAAAGTCTATCTATCTAACTATCTATCTATGTATCTACCTATCTGTATATATATTATCTGAGGCAATTAGCTTAGAACAATAACAGTTGGTTTTTTTTTTGGTTGTGTCTCTGGAAGTTCTAGTCCAAAAGCAAACTGCCCCACCTCTCCCCCACTCTTGGTGAGGAGCAAAGGCTAAACAAAGCGCTCGCTTTCTGAGCTCCTGTTCATACACAGTAAGTCAGGAAGATACCAGGGTCCTGCAGTCCATTACCAGCAGCTCTCAACTATCCTAGGGGCTCCCAATACATCATCACCTCTCAAAGCTTCCATCGGTTCCCAATAGCCCCTCCCAGGGCAAAAACGTCTCCACTGTGTGGACCTTTGGGGGGTACTACCCAGAGTTACATTGCTTCATGTTTCTTCCCATGTGTTTTTAGTTCTCTGGTTTGTTTTTAGTGTTTTGTTCCCTATCTATTTTGTAGTTATTTTTTTTCTCTACCCAAATTTAATGTACAGGTTTAACCCTGTCCATTGAGATTTAAATTCCAACAATTATTTTATTTCCAAAAGTTTTGCTTGGTGGTTCCTTAAAGTTTATCATATGTCATGCTCTCCTCATGTTCTGTAGTTATCTCAAGAAGGCGTCTAATGAATCCAGTATGTGAAATCTTTGTGACACCCAAATCTTGTTACTTTGTTATTCTTGCTCATGTGTGCCTATGTTCTTTCTTTCATATGTAATTGATCTACATTTGTTGAGAACCTTGTGATGATTTTCTTCTCTAATATATATACATATATATATATATATGAATGATAGATAGATGGATAGATAGATAGATAGATAGATAGATAGATAGATAGAGATAGGTAGAGTCTCATCTTGTAGCCCTGACTACTCTGGAACCTTTTATATAGACAAGAAAGACCTTGAACTGTTGGTGATCCTCTTACATCTGTTTCCCCAGGGCTATGACTACAGGCACATACCAACCTCTTGTTTGCCTAAAAAAGATAATATATATGTGTATATATACACATATATGTATATATATGAATATGTGAATATATGAGTATATTCATATATATGTATATATATATACATATATATATTTATATGAGAATGAGAGATTCACACCTATTTCTACCTTGCATTTCACAAATTTGGAGCACTTTAGTTAAAAACTTCCAGTTTTTTTGGGTTACACATTTGTATTGAATATTCACACATGCCTTGAGATGAGTTTATAGCCAGTTAGAAGGAGGAGGGGTTTTTCTTTCTTTCTCTTCTATCTTGGAGTTGAGACAGAGAAAGTTTTTATTCTGTGAACTCCTCCATTGGGGTTAAATGTTGTTATTGTTGTTTTTCCCAGCTGGATCTTATAGAGAACATTACTTTTGAGGACATTAGCTCTACATGGGACCTCAGTGCCAACCCCCACCAGTCTCCTGGTGCTTGCTTTTTCTCCACAGTTGTTAAAGCTCCAAGCACCAAGCTTCATGGAAAACTGGAAACACACATGTGTTCTCATTTTTCTATCTCCCTTGTCACTTGTGGTTTTTCAATCTTCTTTATACATGCTCTGTTAAGTGGTTAATTTACTCAATCGTAAGGATAACCTAAATTAAATTACTTGTATCATTTGAATAACCATTGGTTTCCCACAGAGTATTTTGATTATATAGTTAAAGCCTGTATAGGAGCCTAGTCTGGTAGCTGAGTCAGATTCTTATTTTGCCTCAGGTTTCTCCTGTTCTATAAAATCTTTTACTGTTAATAAAAAGAATGTTAATTAGAAGGTATTTAGTTTTGAACTTAAGAAAAATGGCATTTCCAAAGACTATGTAATCTTGGAAAATTTTTAGTGCATATGAAATGTAATTACAAAAAGCATTTTTATACCAGAAACATGGCTAAGTGAGATGCTGCGTATCTTTCTGCAGGCTTATCTTTCTGCCCAAGGACACTGTGTTACCAGGGTGAACTCGATCACTAATCAATGCACTTGCTCTTGGCTCTAGATTGCCACTCCCTCTTTGAAGGTGTCAAAGGAGAAAATAACCAAGAAAGAAAGCCCTGTCAAGTTGCCAAGTCAGAAGCCTTCACTGATTCAACGCCCAGCTTCAACTCTTAGGTATTCAAATATTCTGCTCTGAGTGTGGGACGTGAACTTGGGAGTTTTCCCCTTGTGATTATGAATCTCTTCCACATACAGAGTGCCAATGATTTGTTTAAATCAGAAGGCTCTGACCGTAGGAAGGCTTGGGTGAGGCAGAAGCACTGTCTGTGGAGGACTTAGACGGTGTCCTGTTTGACCACCTGTCCTACTTCAGTTCCTGTGAAATTAACACTGCATCTTGGGCCTCACTTCCAACTTTTTAAAAGGGAGGGTCTTATGATGTAGCCCTTGCTGGCCTTTGTAGATCAGACTGGCCTCAGACTCAGAGCTCCACCTGTCTCTGCCTTCTAAGTGCTGGGATTAAGAGTGTGCACTGGTTCCACATCTATTAAAAAACTTTAAAAAATTCTCTCTCTTTGTGTACGTGCATATATGTGTGAGTGTCTTTAGAGGCCAGAAAAGGGAGTTAAAGGTGGTTGTGAGCCACCAGACATGGGTGCTGGAAACCAAATTTGGGTCCTCTGGAAGAGCAGCAAGTGCTCTTAACCAGCTAGTCATCTGTTCAGCCGCTCCCTGTCCATTTTTGTACAAGAATCTAGTATTGTGTTGGCTCTTTATATGTCTTCCAACAGTAATATTATTTCAGTTATGTACATTTTATAGTATTACCAGATGAAACCCTTTTTCCCGAACTTTATATTTGTAGGCAATGATTTGTCTTATAAACCTTTCTTTAAAGAATAACTATGGCTTGTATGTAGAGCAGGATAAATTGGACCAGAGCCAGAGGCTAACGAGTCAGCATACTGACAAGGGTAGATTCTGCTCCATGTAGGATCATTGTCATGAAGAAGCAAGATAGGGATTTTTGGGGTGAAAGTATCAACTCTGGTAAAAGTATTACCCTGTGGAAGTTCTTTAACAAAGGTTCTGTTGGTTGAGATTTAGAGCACATGCCTGTGGTCCCAGCACTTGTGAGGTTAAGGCAGGAGGCTCATCAAGAGTTCAAGGCTAGTCTGACTACGTGGTGAGTTTAACAAAGCCTGGGCAACTTAGTGAGACCGTGTTCCAACAAAACACCACAATAAAAACAGGCAAATAAAATTTCTTATGATCTCAGGATACCTATAGGCTTTGTTTAGTTTTGTTTTTTTAAATGAATGTCTTTTGCTGCTTTCTAATGTGACCCTTTCTCTGACAGGAGAAAAGAGATGCCTTCTAACCTCTCCCTGACATTATATGAACAAATACCTGAAGAATTCTTAAAACACCCAGAATTAAATGGTAATAAGAAATTCTAGAATTTATATTCTTTCCCTCCCTCCCTCCCTCTCCCTCCCTCCTTTCCCTCCCTCCTCCCTCCTTTTCCCTCCCTCCCTTCCCTCCCTCCTTTTCCCCCCTCCCTCCTTTCCCTCCCTCTTTTCCCTCCCTCCCTTCCTCACTCCCTCCATCCCTTTCTTCCTTCCTGAGCCTATGTAGGTCACGATGGACTCAGACTTGCCACTCTTCTTGCATGGTTGGCATCCCTTTTAATTTTTGCCCAGATTGTCTTGTGCTAATTTTCTTGGGGTCTATTCCAAACTTTAACTATTTCCTCACAATGAGGCAGAGAATGAGTTTTACCTCTGACTATCCTGCTCTGCCTTCCAAGTGCTGGGATTGTAGGTATGCTGCCGTCATTCCCAGTTTAGCTGATTTCATTTTTCTAAAAATAAAAGCTCAGAAGTAGGATTGCTAAACCATACAGGTTTGTTTCTTTATAGACAGGTAATAAAAACTACTGGGAAAACTTCCTAAAATTCTTGTTTTTCCTTTTCACAGACTTATAAACACCTTTCACAGTCTCCCCTTTGGAAATGATTCCCTTTCAATAGACTCATCCCTTTACGTTTCATTTATACTTATTTATTTCTGCTTCTGCAGGGATATATATATATATATATATATATATATATAAAAATAAAATTTATGATATATATATAAATATACAATATATTCATATAGATAATATATAACATAAGTGTATATGATATAAATGCATATAATATAAACAACAAATATATATTTATATATGTTAGATGTATATGTTTTGTTTGAGACTTGGTCACACAATGTAATTCTAGCCCACTATGTAGAACAGGTTGACCTGGAACTCATGGAGATCCTCATGCCTCTGCCTCTCAAGTGCTGAGATTAAAAGCCACCATTAAGTCTCGTTATGATCTGTATTTGAAGTTTTTATTCTTTCTCTCCCTCCCCATTCCTCCTCCTCCTCTTCCTCCTCCTCCTTCTCCTCCTCCTCCTCCTTCCTCCTCCTTCTCCTTTTTTAGTGTGTATGGTTGGTTTGCCTGCGTGTATGTCTGTGCACCATGTTTCTGTTCATGGAGGTCAGAAGAGGCACCAGATGCCCTAGAACTGGACTCACAGACAGCTGTGAGCTGCCGCGTGGGTCCAAGGAGTGGAAACCTAGTCTGGAAGGACAGCCAGTGTTTTTAATCACTGAGCCAACTCTCCAGCCCAGAGAAGCTTCTTAAAATAGTTTCTGTTTTCATTAGTAACCCATAATTTTTGCTTCCCATTTTACTGAACTGTCTTCTACCTCTGGTCCTCCAAAACCCTTTTATTGTTATTATTTTCCTTTCTTCCACCCCATTTCTATTATTTTCTCCTTTTTTCTTTGCCCATTTTCCCTTCTTCTCTCCTTCCTTCCTCCCTCCCTCCCTCCCTCCCTTTCAGCCTTCCTTCCCTCCTTCCCTCCCAGGTTGACCTGAAACTCACTATGTTACCCTGTCAGGCCCTGAACTTGGATCATCCTACCTCAACATTCCTGGCTATTAGATCTTTTTCTTAAACATTGTATTCACAGAACTAAACAAAATTCAATTCAACAGATTTTTTTTGGGGGGTTGGGGGTGAAGAGACTCTATAAAGTAGTACTGGAAAGAGGAAAAAGGAAAAACCTTGCCTTCTAGGAACAATAGGAAAATAAACCGTTTTGGTTACACTGTGTCCTGGGTGCCACAGGAGCAGAGAGAAAAGGGTTCACCGTTCTGGACATAGCTAAGTCACAAGTTTGATTTGAAAGGGCAAGCCAGGTCAGACAATACACACGCCTCTTTCTTGTTTTATGATTGTTTTCTCCTGAGGGAGTGTGGGACAATCAGGATGGCTGCTCACTTTAGTTAATCAAGTGTTTTGTCTGTGCATGCAGCACTTTCCAGGGGCTGTTTAATTTTCAGTAAAGTTCGCAATGGTAAGATTTATGTGAATGATTTGCCAGTGGTCCTTCACACCTTGAAGATTTCTACGAGTGATTCAGAAATGCGTCAGGCGCTGAAGGCCGTTAATGTTGATGGTAAGTTGTGTCATTCTGCATGTATGAATGTAAGCTATGTTTATCTGACTAATTATTGATGATAGGAAAGCTAAATGGTAAATACTTACAACATGATGCTTTTATAATGTTCTAAAGACATGATTTACAATATTTAAAAAGCTATACCTGGGGCTGGTGAGATAGCTCAGTGGTTAAGAACACCGACTGCTCTTCAGGAGGTCATGAGTTCAAATCCCAGCAACCACATGGTGGCTCACAACCATCTGTAATGAGATCTGATGTCCTCATATGGGTGTCTGAAGACAGTGACAGTGTACTTTGAGCCAGAGCTACCAGGGCCTGGAGCAAGAGGGAGATGGGAAGGGGGAGAACAAGAAAAAGCTATACCTCAGGTGAACGTAGTTGGATTGATTACTGCACTGGATTTTGATATGGTTTCATCATTGAACTATGAGTGAACTACTTTCATTTAGTTATTTTAATAATAATGCCACATTAATGATGTAATAAATATCTGACCCAGTCTCTTCAGATGAAACCTAAGATCTTCACAGTAATTTGCATCTAATCATAAAGTCCATGAAACAGCTCATTTTTCTTTCTCCAGTTTGAGGAAAGTATTGTCCTGAGTTGTGTGTTTTTTATTCCTCTTTGTATACTTTCATTGTTGTGGACATGTTTTTTAGAATATTTAAATATCTATTTAAAAAACTTTTTTACAAAGTTTATCATGATGTATATAATCTTTAGGCTTTTATATCAATATTATATAAAAAGATTCCTTTTGTATTTTTGTATGCTACCTCTTGTTCCCTTAATCATTTATATGTTATTATGCTGTGTAACTACATCATATTTTGTTTTTCTGTTGCCTGAATCTTTCTGGAATAAGCACTTTGACATGGAATAAGCCAGTAGAAGTCTGGGGAAGGCCTCGGTCTGGCGGTGACATCTCCTAGTTCCACTGCTGTTGAGTTGGCCTGCTTATTCCAGAAAGAAGACAGCTTCATGTCCACTATCTCACAGATGAATGTGGGACTCTTTTCCAAGTCTGCCATGATACATATCTTGATGCATGTATCTTTTACATTTGATTTCCTCCTAATTTTCAAAACTGACTGCGGGAAGATAGTTTATGCCAAATTACTCTTTAAAAGTTTGATTTATTTGAAAGAAGCACTGGAAAAACATTACAAATGTTTTATAGTCAGGTAGAGTACACATCTTGATGTCAACATTTTATGTCTGATTATATAGTTCACAGTTTGTAGGAGTCAAGAAAAAAACACTATATCTCATTGGTTATTAAATGTTTGTCATTTGCATTAGCCTAGCTTACATTGAATGATGAGAGAGGGAGAGGGAGAGAGAGAGAGAGAGAGAGAGAGAGAGAGAGAGAGAGAGAGAGAGAGAGAAGAGAGAAGAGAGAGGGAGAGAGAGGGAGAGAGAGGGAGAGAGGGAGAGAGGGAGAGAGGGAGAGAGGGAGAGAGAAGCCAGGTGTGGTGGGAAACAACTTTTATTCCAGTGCTTGGAAGGTCAAAACAGAAGTAGTTATCATTGGCTACATAATATGTCTAGGCCAGCCTGGGCTACCTGAGAACCCTGTCTTGAAAGTCCAAAGGGTAAAAAATGTCAAAGAAAAATACAAATACCCATGAACCCTTTGGTTTCATTTTGATTTCTGAATATGTAATTCAGAAGTTGGCCTGCTTTTTTGTTATGTGTCATCTTGGGCTAGAGAGATGTCTGACCAATTAAGAATATTTCCTGTTTTGTAAAGGCCAGAGTTTGGTTCCCAGGATCCATGCTGGGTGGTTCATAACCATCAGTAACTTCTGCTCCTGGAGATCTGATGCCCTCTTCTGACCTCTGCCCAAACTTACACTCACATGCAGATACCCTCCCCACCCCCAACAGGTGCATAATTACAAAGATAAATGTGATGGAACCATGAATAAAAGCAGGAACGTACTGATAATCCCTGATCTTTGGCATTCTATTATTGCAAAAATACTGTTTATTATTTAGTACGGTATTCAGATTCTTTCCTGGTAAGTTCTCTCTCTTTTTAAAAAAATATATTCTCTATAGAATGTAAATGAATGATGCCTCTTGCAGACAATGAGATTCTGATATCAGTTAATTACACTCACATTTTCTGTGTACATTTTAAGCTCAATGAGTTTACTGATGCTCTCTGTCTTTTTTGATTCTGAATCATTTTTATAGTTAATGGAATCCTGGATTTTACAGAATTCCTTAAGGTCATGAATGATACTTCTCCCTCGACCGCTCAGAATCCAGGTAAAGATAATATTGATCAAAAGTATAAAAGAATGGTTTGGATAGTAACTGGTTTCAATGAAGGGTTAGAGAGGGCAACTTATGTCTTTTTAGAATCTTGCAAATTAGACAGGAGTTTTGAAAAAGTGAACCTTTCTGTCTGTCTCTCTCTCTCTTGCATCTCTGTCTGTCTCTGTCTCTCTCCCTCACCCTCTCTCTCCTGTGTGTGTGTGTGTGTGTGTGTGTGTGTGTGATATGTGTGAAGGTATCCATGGAGGTCAGAAGAGGGCATCAGATACCGTGGACCTGGTATGAGTCCTGGAGACCAACTGAAGGCCCCAGAGTGTGGCAAGCACTCTTAACAGCTGAACCAGCTCTCCAACCCCTGATTTTTTTTTTTTTTGTCATAAAAGACATTTAAAAATGTAGGGTCAGTAAGAGGGCCTAGTAGATAAAAACATTTGCTACTCAAGCCTGACAACCTAATTCAATCTCTGGAACACACACACACACACACACACACACACACACACACACACATATCCTGACCCCTGGATCACTGCTGCAGCAGCATAATTTTCTATTGTCAAACTCTTGCTTTTCTGATTGTAACTGGTAAAGAACTAGATGAATTTTTTTTATGTGTTATATGCTCATGTGTATATATAGGTGTGCACATGTCACAGGGTGTGTATGGAGGTCAGAGGACGACTTGAGTGCTGAGTCTGGCTTTCTACCTTATTTGAGGCAGTCTCTTGGTTTTTTCCTAGTGGGTACATTAGCCTCATTGGTCTGTGAGCATCTGCGGAGTTTCCAGTCTTCTTCTGCATCTTGCCACGTAGATTACAGACCAGTGAAACCATGCCTGGTCTGAGGGGGGACCATGGGGACCAGAACTCAGGTACTCACATTGTGGCAATCCTTTAACTAACCAAATCATCTACCTAGTCCTTAGTCTAAGTCATTTTTTAAAAAAATTAGTGTGTGTGTGTGTTCATGCACACATACAAGTGCACTGTGGTGTGTATGTATAGGTCAGAGGACAACTTTTAAACTTTGAGGATTCAGTTCTCTCCTTCCATCATGAGTTCTGGGGATTGAACTCAGGTTCTCAGATTTGTCTGCCAAACACTTTTACCTGTGAAGCCATTTCACTCTCACTGAGAATGCTATAATTTTGATTATCACCCTTCCTTTCTCTACAGAATATTTTACAAAAAGAATCTTTTTTCCCTAGTTAACTTTAAACCTCTATCTATGCAAAACTTCATTTTTTACATATGTGTTTTTGTTCTTGTGTGTGCTTGTTTTCTGTTCAAGTTGCATTTTCTTCTCCATCGGCAGAACCTTCTCCACGCTATAAAAAATCTGCATGTAATTTCTCCCCGAACCTTCAGATACTTATGGACTTCCCAGTTATTTATTTTGGATTACAAGTAAATTATAAAGTGGTTGTAAGGACTACTTGTTTTAGTTATAGACATATACCTGCCAAAACTCTGAGACTGTTAGTGTTTCTCATTTACCCATCAGACAAGATCAATCTCTTAGCTCAGTCCTTGGGATCATGTATTTTATAGTCAGACTGTGTTGTCTTAGACTCAAGTATACTAGAGTGTGGTGTAGTATTCTTTTTTTTTTAATTTTGTAATTATATTTATGTACAGAAGACGTTGTGTACATTTAACCCAGTTTAGTGGTGAGTTCTTTAGCCTTTGCTTTTTCCAGGTTGGCAATTTGAGCCACAGCCTTAGGATCCAGGACGTTGCCTCCCCAGTGATCGTGGATCTCGTCTTGTCTGTCATTATAATTGGTCCTAATAGCTTCCACCAGCTTAGCCAGAGCACCCTTGTCTTCTGAGTTAACCTGTGTGAAGGCAACAGTGGTGCATGTCTTCCTGTGGACCAGGCGCCCCAGCCTGGCCTTTCCTTTGATGATGCAGTAGGGTACCCCATCTTTCAACACAGGGCAGACAGGAAAACCACCAGCTCAATGGGGTTACATCATGGACAATCACCACCAGCTGAGCCTTCTTGTTCTCCACCAAGGTGGTGACTGCATTGACTCCTGCTCGGAGGACAGGTGGTCTCTTAGTTGGGAAGTCTCCTTTGCCAGCAGCTTTCTTCTCAGCACAGGCCAGAAGCCTTTGCTTCTTCTCCTGCTTTGTCTCTGGCCTGTACTTGTGGGCAAACTTAAGCAGCTGAGTAGCTGTTTGCCTGTCCGGGGCCTGAGTGAACTGGTTAATGGCAGGAGGTACTTTGAGCCGCTTTATAGAGGATGGCTCTTTGCCGCTGCAGCCTGATGTATTGGGGCCATTTGATGAAGCGTGTTAGATCTCTTTTGGGCTGGATGTCCTGCCCAATGCTGAAGTTCTTGGGCCTTTCCTCAGACAAAAGATTAACCACCTTTTTGGCCTCCTGTTTCTTGATGACGACAGGGGCTGGGGCCACTTCTCCCCTTGGTCTTCTTTCCTTTGGGCATCTTGCTTGGTTGGAGGAGAGAGCGTGGTATAGTATTCTTATTCCAGGAAATGCAAGCAAAACTTATTTTCATTCACTCACATAATGTTATTAAGTGCCTGCTGTGTGTACAATAGATAAGATACTTTGCCTCCTTTCCCCCTTTGATTCCTCACTTCCCATTTAGATTTTCCTTCAAGTTCCCACGATACTGGGCTTCTTTGTCTAGTTGTCATCCAATTTAAAGCCTTTTTTCTATCCAACTATGTGTGTAGACTTGTAAATACTTCATAGCTATAAACCATCGCTTATATTTTAGTTTCTATTTCTTGGGATTTATTTATTTATTTATTTATTGTTTGTTTGTTTGTTTGTTTATTGGTTACTTTATTTATATACATTTCAAATGTTACCCCCCTTCCCAGTTTCCCCTCCACAACCCCCCCATTCCTTCCCTCTCCCCCTGCCTCTATGAGGGTGCTCCCTCACTTGCCTACCCACTCCTGCCTCAGTGCCCTAGCATTCCCCTGCCCTGGGTCATTGAGCCTCCACAGGACCGAGGGATTCCCTCCCCTCTGGAGCTCAGGGTGTGTGTGTGTGTGTGTCTGGTTGGTTGATATTGTTTTTCTTCCTATGGGGTTGTAAACCCCTTCAGCTCCTTCAGTCCTCGCCTTAGCTCCTCCATTGGTGTCTCCGTGTTCAGTCTGATGTTTGGCTGCATGCATCCGCATATGTATTGGTCGGGCTCTGGCAGAGCCTCTCAGGGGATAGCTATACCAGGCTCCTGTCAGCAAGCTCTTTTTGGCATTAGCAATATTTATTTTACGTTTATGGTCAAAATGTCTTGAGAGCAATCAAGATCTCATGTTTCCCATATTACTTTTACAACAAAATACAAAATAGTATATTATTTAAAATTTAGATATAAGATGTCTAAGTACTGAGCTCTAAAAGGTCTTTAGCTCTTTCTAGCTTATTACAAGTTTAACATTGACTTTAGAATATTTTTGTCCTATTTTGAAACAGGGTCTTTTGTCATCTAGACTGACTTAATGTAGCTGAGGCTGGCTGTGAATTCTTGATTGTCTTGGCTCTACTTCCTAAGAACTTGGATTGCAAGCATGTACCATTACAGCCAGTTAGAGTACTTTTAATATATCACTGTTGCTCACAAATATATGTATACATAATACAAATATGTTTTCAAGGCAAACGAGTTACCAATTAGTAGCAAGGAAGAATCAGAGGGCCTAGATCTTACAGAATCTAAAAAACAAGCAAACAAAATCCCCCTAAACAAAACAAAACCGACAAAGAATACTATTGGGAGTCAAGAGATCTCTCCCCAGTTTCCTCAGTGATGGCGTCACTGGTAAGGTGCTCAGTTCCTATAAATAATCCTGTACCCACGATCCTATAAGTAGCCATATTTAAGCTCACTGGTTCAACGGTAGCAACAAAAGACTTGGAAGTAGATGGGAAGGGATGGGGGAAGGGATGGGTGAGAGTGTTCAGGTCGGGAGAGGGCAGGAGAAGGGTGATTCAGGTGCATGTGGTGGAAGTATGGTGTGTGTGTCTGGAGTAACCTGTTCCTTATTAGGTTACTGGGATGAAATCAGACTGTTCTGCAGGAAAAGCTGTCGATTCTTGCAGTCCCATAACTTTTATTCATTTGTTTTCCCTCCAGAGTTTCAAAATGCCTTGAAGATGTTTTCTAAGGTGAAAAGTGGCCGTGTGGCCACCGAAGATGTGGCTGCTGTTTTGGAAAGCATGGATATCTCAGTCAACCCAGAGGTGCTCAAGGACGTGCTGCAGCATGCTCATGAGGACAGTGAGTTACTCGAAGTTTTCAAATCAGTTCTGTTACACATTATTAGCCTCCACGTCGTCTTTCCTCCCTTGACTTTATCTTTTGTTACTGGTACTGCCTTACTGATACCTGCATAAAAATCAGTGTGGAAGACACACAAGAATGTTCTACAGTTGTTCTAGTTTGCTATATTTTTTGAAAGTTAAGAATAAAATGAATTCTAAAAATTTTGACACGGTCAGGCAGGGTGTCATACACTTTTACTCTCAGTTCTTGGGAGGCAGAGGTAGGCAGACCTCAGTGAGTCTGGTTTCTATGAGTTCCTGGCCAATCAGGGTTAGTCACATAGTGAGACTCTATCTTAAAAAACACACAAACACACACAAAACCCTCAACACTGAGGTGTTGAGATAGCTCAGTTGGTGAAGGGCTTGCCTTGTTAGCATGATCACACAGTATGGCATATATATGTATATATATGTATACACACACACACACACATATATACATATATGTATACATACAATAAAAGTAAACTAGAAATTAAAATCTTCAAACATCTAGCCTCATCTGGTTTTCAGTGGTCCTTTCTTGTCTTTATAGATGGGTCATTTCTTAGAAAACAAAGGAGGAGTGTTGATTTCAGAAATGAGGAGACACAGAATTCTTGAATTCTCAATCTTATTGTGTCATTTTGATTAAAACTTCCTATCCTTTTGATTATTCTCTATATGCAACATGGCTTGACTTCAAATTTTATACAGATTTATGAGACATTCTATATCATGCTGACATTTGCCCAAAGGATATACAGCATAGACTAATATATTGGTTAGTAATTGTTGAAATGATTTATTCATTCAACAAGCCAGTTAGTTATTTAATTCCTGCAGTAGTGACAGGTGGCGTAAGGATGGATTAGAACACAATTCTAGTGTGGAGAGAACTATGTAAATGATAATGCTTTGTCATAAATACCTACAGTCAGCTGTGCGCAAGGCTGCTATTGGACACACCAGGGAGAGGTTATCAGAGAAGGTGATGTCCAAACTAAATATTGATGGGTTGGTTGAGGTTTATTGGATGACATGATGGTGAATAATGAGAGAGACACCATAGGCTGAGACAACAGTTTGTATAAATACGACAGGAAAAAAAATCAGATGTTATGTCATTTTAAAGTAGGCTCCACTGGCTTTCGTCGCCTGCTAGTGGTGACTTCATAGTGTTTTGAAGCTAGAACTGAGCTATGAATAGTTCCATGGGTTTGTTATTTATTTGTTTGATTTAAAATTTTTAACAGTTGATCTGAATAAGTTGTGTTGGCTGCAGATATGTGTACGCACCACATGCGGGTACCCACAGAGGCCAGAAGAGGGATCAGAGCCCCTGGAACTAGAGCTTAAAGATAGTAGTGAGCAGCCATGTGGGTGCTGGGGACTGAGCTTTGGTCTTCTGCAAGTGCGAGTTCTTAATGATAATCTCTCCAGCCCTATGTCCTTTTGTTTTTGAAGCAGGATCTCACTCTGCGTCTCAGACTTGTCTAGACATCATTTTGTAACCTTAGGCGGGCTTTGAATTTGTGGAAATCCTTCTGCTTTGAGCTCTAGGTTTTTATTTATGGTGAACTCTTGGATGGTAAATGTGTATAGTATTCATAAAAGAGGAGACTTTTAGAGACAAGTTTCAAGCCATATTGTTTGATAGTCTTTAGGGTATGCCCTACCAGAATAACCGATCTATGTGGAATATTGCAGAACCTTGTGTTTTGGCTTATGGATTCTCATCTAAGTCTTCAGGTCTCCAGATCTCCCACATGATTTGGGAAGGTAGACTGAGCGAATAAAACTCATTTCAAAGGATTGCTGTAGAAACTGGTTATAAACATCTATCACCGAGCTTGTAATTATGAATAGGGGGGTGAAGTAGAAACCCGAGTCATCTTCAACAAGTCTATTATTGTAAAGCTCTCTTGGTTTGAGCTCTGAGATAGTTCTGAAACCTACTACCCTACTTTAATCCACACGAGTGTGCCTTTTCTTTGGGACCACCGAAGTTCAGTCTCCCCTGTCTACCCAGACCAGCTTTGATCCTTTCATCCTCCAGGCAGAATGATCTTCTCAAAGCACAGATCTGATCATGTTGCCCTCCTGGTGTAATGTTCAGCAAGAGCTCTTAGGATAGAGAACACTTTAAGGTGATGTTCCAGGCTGTGCTGGCTAGTTTTATGTCACTTTGACAGAAGCTGGGGTTATCAGAGGGGACATCAATTGAGGAGGTGCATCTATAACAGGCCATAGGCAAGCCTGTAGTGCATTTTCTTAATTAGTGATTGATGGGGAAGGCCCCAGTCCGTTGTGGGTGATGCCATCCCTGGGTTGATGGTCCTGGGTTCTGTAAGAAAGATGGCTGAATAAGCTGCAAGGAACAAAGCAGTAAGCATCATCCCTCCACGGCCTCTGCATCAGCTCCTGCCTCCAGGTTCCTGCTATGTTTGAGTTCCTGTCCTGACTTCCTTCAGTGATGAACACCTTTCTATCAGGTTGCTTTGGTTATAGGAACCTTTACTAGGAAAACTGCCTTGTATCACCTGCCATTTTCTTAGGTCTTTAGTTTTGTTTTAGAACCTGTTCTTGATTTCTGTGTCCTTTTAGAATTTCTGTTACATACGGTGCCTCTTCCTGCCAAATAGCCATTGCTTTTAAAAATTTTCCTTGAGTATTCCTCTCTTCACACACACATACCACATACCATCACAAAGAAGCTTCTTGTCTTTTAAGTGTTAAAATCACCCCTATGTGTTGGGGGTACCTCAGGCATGCTAGCCGAATACTCTGCCAGTGCTATATCTCCAGACCCACAGAAATTGTCTAAATAGGTGCGTTGGATGGTGAGAGTTAAAATCAACTAGGAAGTACCTAAACTATGCAGAGAGGCAAGTTACAGTACTCAGACTGAGAAAATAACAGAAACTTGTACAGGGTTACGGTTCAGAAGTAGAAGATTGATGGAGAAGTGAATGGGCTGGGATCCGAACAAGTTCAGACTGTAGCATAATTGTGTGCTTTTCTCATTAGTTACAAATGATTAGTGGAAGTTGATTAAAGGAGAAAGGCTTGTAGGTCCTGAGTTGGCTCTCCCTGTGGTGGAGAGAAGAGAGAGTCTGTGGATGGGCGTGTGAGATCAAGGAACTGTGGGAGCTGGGTGTGGTGTGTGCTGGCACATGCCTGTGATCCTGGCATGTGCCTGTGATCCTGGCACGTGCCTGGGATCCTGACATGTGCCTGGGATCCTGACACATGCCTGTGATCCTGGCACATGCCTGTGATCCTGGCACATGCCTGTGATCCTGGCACATGTCTGTAATTCCCACATCTCTCCAGTTTGGGGCCAGCAGGGACTATACAGTGAGTTCCAGGCCAGCTTAAGTTACAGCATGAGATTTTTATCTCAAAAACAAAGCAAAACAAAGCAAAAACAATCTATGAGGGTATAGAAGATGACTTTAGAAATAAAAACTTCTCAGGAACCTTCAGTGTTTAGGTGGATATTGATTTTTGATACTATATGGTATGGCAAGGGTAGATTTCAAGCTGCTTGGCTTTCATATTAAGGGGAACAAAGATTTGGAATACCACTTAAGATACATACGTAGAGGGATCGACACTGTAGATGCTCTTAAGTAGATTTTACTTATTCAAAATCATTTTTTAAAAAAAAGGTCTTCTTATTTATTTTATGTATGTGAATACAATGTCACTATTCAGACACACCAGAAGAGGGCATCAGATCTCATTACAGATGGTTGTGAGCCACCATGTGGTTGCTGGGACTTGAACTAAGGATCTTTGGAAGAGAGTCAGTGTTCTTAACTGCTGAGCTATCTCTCTAACCCCATCAAAATCATTTTTAAGTGGTAGGAAGTAGATGTTTTGTTAAGAGTTGGGGAAATAGTTTAATTATGAATTCCCTGTTCTTGACTCACAGTCTAGAAACTGAGACAAAGGAGTAAATGCTTGAAGTGCTATCTATAGTAAATCCTCAAAAAATATTATAAAATGCTAATCAGATTGTTGATCATAGACACTTCAAGTGTGGTTCTTTCCTTTAATGAAGAAAACTATGGTCTTAATTTTTTACCTCACTGTGTACTGAGTTACTAATGAATAATTTCAGATAGTCCTCAAAGCTCACAGTGGCTGGTCCTCTGATTCCACCTTCCCACGCTTCCGAGTCATATTCGTATTGTATTCAGGTTGTCAGCTATTTCTATGTTCAAAAACAATGGAAGTACTTTAAATTCCTCTTTCTATTACAGGTTACCATACTATGGACATTGGAGACATTATATTTACTTTGGAAGAACTGCAACGGCAATATGAAGATGTTTGTAAGGGATCACATGTGGCTATACGTTTTGTTTATAAATGATCTTTAAGTTAATTCCTAGCCTACAGTTTTAAATTTTTTTTTTAATAGATAGCAAACCTCTTTTCCTAACTTTCTAATCAGGAAGACAAAATGTAACATTCTAAAAGCATTCCTTCTTCATATTGATTATACAAGTATTCCACTGACACTAATTCTCTACACATTCTTTACTATTTCTGACTATTTGGTACAGTTCTTCATTAAATACATCCTTTTTGATCTTTTGATGCACTTTATGCCACATTTTAAATTTCCTTTCATTTGTTCAAATATAAATTTGTCAAGGTTATCTCAATAATTATAAAAATTCTGCAGTTTGGTTAAGCTTATTACAAAAACAAGCTCTGTCTTCAATTTTCCCCACCTTAGGTTTTCCAGCCAGGGGCAGCAATTCTTTGAGTATTTTAGCTGACTCCCTGATATTCATACTTAGAACATATTGTTGCTCTTTTTATTAAAATTAATGGATAATATATATATATAATGTGAAAAAGTGTGATAATTTTTGTAATGAGCACACTTTTCGATTGATGATAATCTGCATTTCTATCTCCCCAAACATTTATCTTTTATTTGTATAACTTTTATTTGGGAAGTTTCAAACTTCTAAGAATTTTTAGAATTTTTGAGAGAATAAGCTTCCTGTTATGTCCTCAGCATCCACACTCCTCACACATAAGTCCATTCTTCCACCATGGTCAGAACCAATTTAACGAGCTTCTAATTCAGCACTGCTGTCAGTAAACCTCTGAGAACACTGCTTACAGCTGAGTCGTATAGCACCTTATGGGCGCCTTCCTTCGTTCTGTCTGTATATCTGTATAACATTGATTCCCTTCTTTGAATTAGTAATTGTCATTTATTTATTTGCTTGTTCTTTTTAAAAGCATTTTTCTACTGATTAGTTATCTTTGTAAATTTGGGCGTACCAGATACTCTGTCTGCTCTGTCTTACTGAAAAAACTTGTCTTTCAGTACTCTGATATGCAGGTCCAACAACTTACACACAGGAGAACTAGTGGATTTTGTTGGTCTTTGCATCTTCTGGACGTTGACATTCAGGGCTTCCCTGTTACTGATGTTCTAGGTTCTGCACATCTCTATCTGACTTTGTCTCTGTATTTGACTAACAGACAAATATTTGTGTTACTTGTTTTTTTTTTAAATGATATATATTTTAGAAATTAGTTCTTTTTCAGATGAATATTTCCCATTTTCTTATTTTAGTCTGGAAACTATTTCCCAAGCTATCTAGAAGTATCTTAATATAATACCATTGACCTATTTTTTTTTGTTTTGAGAATCATATAAAAACTGTTGCCCATATTAATGTCTTGAAATATTTTTCTGTGTTTTCTTCAAGTAGATTCACGGTTTCGGGTCCTATGTTTATGTTTTTGACCTTTTGGTTTTATATGGAGAATTTCTAAATTTTAATAATTATTTTAATAATTTCATTATTTTATTAGTTCTAATGTTAGTAATGGAATCTTGAAGGGCTTTCTATTTGTAAGATCTTGTCATCTGAAAACAGGGACAATTTACGCCTGCCCCTACAATTTGGGTGTCACTTTTCCTGTCTCTTCCCTATTGCTATGGCTAGAATTTCCAGTGCTGTGCTGGAAAGAGTGAGCCTGACCTTAAAGGAAAAGTTTTCTACTTTTAAATATCAAGTAAGAAGTTTGGTAGAGGTTTGTCACGTGTGGCTTTTATTGTGTTGACGTATATTCTGCATGTAACTTGGTGAAAGGTTTTATCATTAAATAATGTTCACTTTTATCACATGCTTTTTTGTGCACCTGTTGAAATTACCGTGTTATTTTTGTCTTTCGTATTGCTTAAAGTTTTAAATTGCATTAATGTATTATTGTGTCTCAGTGTGGATATACAAGTGTGTCATTTATACATACAGTTCAGAGGACAATTTGCAGAAGTCATTTCTCTCTTGCTACCACGTGGGCCCTGGAGATCAAACTCAGGTTGTCCCACTTTGTGGCAAGCACCTTTACCCACTGAGCAATCCTGCCTGTCCCCCTTTAGGCTGTCAGTGTGTATTGTATTTCTAGGCTTCTCTATGCTGAGCCATCTTTGCATACCAGGTAGGTATAAATGCCACTTGGAAATGGTGGCTGATCCTTTGTATATGCTGTTGAACACAGTGGCTAGTATTTGTTGAAAATGTTTGCATCTGTGTTCATTGAGATATCTTCCTATAATTTTCTTTTCTTACAATGTGTTCTTCTGGCTTTGGTGTCACAGTGATCCCTATCTTACTAATTTAGAGGGGCTGAAGAGAGATAGCTCAGTAGTCAAGAATACACCCTGCTCAGATAGGGAACCCACGTTTGTTTTCCCAGTACCTATGTTGGGTGACCCACACTGCCCGTAATTCCAGATCTAGGATCCAACATCCTCTTCTGAACTCTGGGCACCTGCATCCACATGCACACACTGTCCATATGCACATAATTAAAAAAAAACAAAAAAAATCACGAAAGATAAAATGAATTTAGAAATATTTCCTCTAATTTTGGGGAAGTGTGTATGTATTAATTCTTTAAAAGTTTGTTGGTGCTTACTAGTGATACCATTGCATCCTGGGGTTTCCTTTGATGATACTTTTGTTACTAATTTATCATTTGTTATTTGTCATTGGTCTGTTTAAATATTCTATTTTTTATGATTCAAATGGAAAATGATATATTTCTCGTGATTTATCCATTTCTAGATTATCCAATTTGTTGAAGTGAAATTTTCTACAGTAGCACCTTGTGATCATCTGGGTTTCTGTGGTATTAGTTATGTCTTCTCTCTGATGTTTTTGTTATTTGAGTCTTCTCTATTTTCTTGGTTTATTTTTTAATTTATTTTTTGTGATGCTATTAAAAAAAAACAGGAAAGAAAAAGAGTGCCACGGCATGCATCTGTAATCCTTGTTCCGAAGAGGGGAGACAGATCTGTGGGTCTCACTGGCCGCAAAGATCCCTGGGGTTCACGCGGTTCACTGGCCATCAGCCTATTCCACTTGGCAAGCTCCAGGCTGGGGAGAAACACAGTCTCAAAAACCAAGGTGCATGGTACCTAGGAAAGAACCACACCCAAGGTTGTCCTTTGGCCTTTACATGCACGCACGCGCACACACACACACACACACACACACACACACACAGACACACACAGACACACACACACGACGACATGTATGCACTCCCATAAATGTGCATGTATATGCGTGCATACACACAAACCTATAATGATGATATAAGTGACATACCATCAATTATAGTACTAGGCTAATTGGAGCGTTATATTTTCTTGTGTCTTTATGTTACTAATTGGTTCTTTGTGATTCAAGCTTTCAAGTGCCTGGATTATCCTTAAACTTACTGTGTAGCAAGTTTGACCTTAACTCCGGGCTCTCTTACCTCTGCCTCCCAAGTGCTGGGGTTACAGGTCTGTACCACCATGCCTGACATGATTTTGCATTTTTCATGCTGTTTAATAATTCTCTTTTTGTATTTGCTGTTTGGTTCTTTGTATATAATAGGTCTGGATGTGATCTTGTTTGGGTTGAATCTTATGAGAGTCCTCAGATTTTCTGGCACTTGATTATTTCCCAAGATTTAGAAAGTTTTCTTTTTTCCTAATTAAAAAATGTTCTCTTTCCAACAACTCCTTGAGTCTTGCTTTTAAACATGTATATGTTTATAACTATGTAATTAGGTGTACGTCTGTGGTGGTTATAGGTGGATTCGTGCATTTTGTCTGCAGAGGTCAGAGGCGTGCGATCCTCCTGGAGCTGGTTACAGGTGGTTGTAAGTCAGCTGATGTGGGTGCTAGGAATCGAACTTAGGTTCTCTAGAAAAGCAGTTCACGCTCTTCATAGCTGAACTATCTCTTCAGCCTTATCCTCTTGCTCTGAATGTAAACTTTCTACCCCTTTGTCTTTTTCTCCTCACACACTTCCCATAAGTTTCAATGTTTTATTTTAATCTGGTCCCATAAATCCACTAAGTTTTTTTTGTTCTTTTCCATTATTTGCTTTTTCTAGGACTGCATATTGTAGTTTCTGACTTTAACATCTTTCTCTCCTTGGTTGGTTCTACCGTATTTTGTCATAAATACATTTTCATCTTATTCATTACATTCAAGTTCCAGATTTCTTATTTTTATAAATTAATTTTCTAAATTTATAATTTTGGATATTATCTTTCAAATGGAATAGGATTTTTTGTGTATTATAAAATTTTTCTTACATTTCTTAAAAATAACTTATTTTGAAATCATCAGGCAACTTATGTATTTACATTTTTGGGAGAATCAGCTAGTTGGGGATTATTGTCTTCTTTGTTTGAAGACATGCTTCATGCCTCTTGTTGCTTTGTGATGATGATTATAGTAGAAATAGGACTTTTTCCCAAGAGACTTCTGGAAAAGCCATTGAGAGATGATAGTCAGCTTAGCCAGGTAACAGGCAAGTCATTTTACATGGTACAAATTTTCACATCAGGAGTCTTAAAGATTAAAGTTTATTTCATTTTTTATGCATTAGTGTTTGATACACACACACACACACACACACACACACACACACACACACACGCACACACAAATGTGTGTACCTACAGAGACCAGAAAAGTGAGTAGGATTCCTTGCAACTGAAGTCAGGGATGGTTGTGAGCCACCATGGTCTGGAAGCAAAGCTTGGATCCTCTCCAAGAGCGGTGAATTCTCTTAACTTCTGAGTCATCTCTTTAACTCTCAAAGATTTAATTATTATCAATTTACAACATCTTCAATGACTTCAAGAATTGTAGAACCCACATATTTATCTTTAGTTTATTTTGTACATATCAAATTATGAAACTTTTTCATTTTCTAGAAGAAATGGCTTCATATTCAAGATTGCATTGCTGCTCTGTCAAAATGTTGTATTTCCTTTGATTAGTAGGCATTTGCAATCTGATGGAGTTGGGTTGAGGAACAAGTATTCATACTCTTGAAGTATGTTAAAATATATTGTCACACATAAGGCATTCTTTCTGAACCACCACATGGATTTTTATAAATCAAGTTGTGATTTTGGACATTGGACTATTATATTCTAGAGTTGTGACTTCTGTATCTGCAGACACTGAGAACATTCATGAAACTAATTAATTGGATTTTAACTTTATTAACAAAAGCTTCCCTTCTGCAACTTCTTCTAGCTCTGCACACTCACAATGAGGATATTTTTAACTGTGTTATCTTATTAACCCGTTATCTTTCCAAAATGGGGAGTAGAGAACGATACAACCCCATAGAGTATTTTTTTAACTTTAGATTTGAACAGTTGTATTTAAATATAATAAGGTGTGCTGGTTAATAGTTTGAACATTTAATCACCAGCCCTTTCAACTTTGTTAAACCTTGTTTTACACGTTTAAGTGATTCATAATTTCTGGAATGGGCTTCATGAGGACTTAGCTGATTTGTTTGAAATGTTGTACAAATCATACAAATAAATGGTAAAGCTGAATATATTTCTCCCATTTAGCAATTATGGATGAAACTACTTCAGGTAAAAGAGCATCAATTACCCCAGGACAACATCCACAGCTGAAGAAGAAAGGCAGTTTGCCTTCCAGATTGCCTGAACCTATCACACCGAAAAAGCAGATTGTGCTTCCTCAACCACATCCCAGTAAGACCACTGGGAAACAGGAGTCTCCTC